ATTCCACTTTGGATGGCTCTAATAGTTTTGAAGTTTTTCTTTGCATCAGTTTTATTATCTAAGGATTTATAACTAACATTTTCTGGGCATTGTCTACAACAGGGAAATCACAGGCTTTGTTAAAGAAAAGTACCTTATAGTTTTCAGCCTTAATATTCTATAATTCCATAAAGTACAAATCAAGTCAGATTTCATGTAAAAAGAAATAGAGAATTGAGACAATTATTTCCTTGTATTAATTTATTCTTTGCACACACATTAATGTACTAAGCCCCAAGAATTATCTAGAAACATAGAAAAAAAATTCTTAACTTCAAGGATTTTCTTAACCTAAGGGAATAAAAATATATTTATAATTTATACTTACTTCTTCCTTGACTAAGGATAATGCAACACTGAAATGTGAATAAGATTTCTGATTCCTTTTTTATAAAGTCAGTTTTTACTCTGGATTTAAGAACTCAACATCTGGAATTTAAGGTCTAGAGGTTATAAATTATGCTTCCTACCATATGAGTTATCAGAGATTGATAAGAACATGTACTTCATTATTGAAATGGTGGTTGCTCAGGCTATCAATTTCTGAGTTAATAAACAGGCTAACAAATTTGAGGAATAATCAATAAACATTTATTAAGGGCCTCCTATGCACCAGGCATTGTGATAAGCATTGGGGATACAAAAAGAGGCAAAAGACATTCCTGTCCTTAAGGAACTGATAATCTAAGGGGGAAAACAACACACAAACAAATATATTCAAAGCAAGGTATGTACAAGATAAATAGGGAATAATTAACAGAGAAAAAACATTGAAATTAAGAGGGATTAAGGAAGGCTTCCTATAGAAGGTGGATTTTATTCAGGACTTAAAGGAAGCCAGAGATGTTAACAGTATGAACAGAGAAAGGAAAACATTACAGAAATGGATGATAGACAGAAAAAATGCCCACAGCCAAATATGGAGCATCTTACTTGTAGAACAGCTGGGAGGTCAGTGTCATTGGATTGAAGAGTATATGTTGGGTAGTAAAGTGTAAGAAGATTGGAAATACTGGAAGGGACTAGGTTATGAAGGGTTTTGAATGTCAAACAGAGCATTTTGTATTTGTTCTTGGAGGTAAAGGAAGCTACTGGAGTATATTGAAGGGAGTAGAATGGTGGTGATATGACTTGACCTGCATTTTAGGAAAATCATTTTAGTGACCAAATGGGGATTGAATTGCAATGGGAAAAGACTGGACAGGCAGAAAGATTAGTAGACTATTGTAGTAATCAAGGTGTGAATTGATGAAGGCCTGTACTAGATTGGTAGCAGAAGAAAAGATTGATGTTAGAGGAGAGAAGGGGGAGTATTGGAGAGGTGTTGCAAAGATGAAATCAGGAGGCCTTAGCAATAGCCTGAAATGAATATAGTATTTCCAAAATGAACTACTTTCACTGATTTAAAGATTCTATGTGTGTGCACCCAGATACAAATATACTCAGAGCACATTGTAAATCTTAAAGTACTATGAAAGTGATAGCAATTATTATTATTATTATTATTATTAATTATATATTTGCACATACATGCATGTTGATTCATTGAACATGACAGGGATTTCATCTATACAAAGACATGAGGAAAATTTAGAATGCAATACTTGTATTTGACAGTAAAGACTAGAAATAAATCTTAATTCATATCTTATGTTATGACTAACACAAGAAAATAACCTCATTACATGTGGAAATAGGCTGATAAGTTTTAAAAAAAGGCAAATAGAGCATAACTTCTGAAGAAGCATTCTAAGATTAGGGAGAATTTCTCTGTCAATCAGCTCTGTTTTCTTAGAATTACTAGAGAACATGGAGAAAAAGAGGTGAAGACTGCTTGGCAGTGCCCTGGATGACTTGATGTACCATAACAACCTCTTAAGTGGAATCAACTTAACAGCTAACAGAATTATTTCTTTGGTCTTATCTTCATAAGCTTCCCTGAAGCTATCAAACTTCCTAGAACTGAGATTCTTGACATCCCAGAAATGATTTTCATATACTACAGCCACTTTGTTTCATGGAATTCTTTGATTCCTTTGAGGAAGAATGTGTTCAGCACTCAACTAGGCCCTGCTATATTCTCTTGAAGATCTGAAAATAAGAGTCTGTTAGCTATGTAGTATAAATGGCAAAATGGGTACTACAGTTCATGCTGGGAGCTATTTAGATCTTTGAAAAGAGATAATGGGGCCCAGCACATTGTTGAATACATTCTTCCTCAATGGAAACATAAACCGATAAGATTTAGCCACTTAGTGAACATCTGGCCTCCTCATTCACAAAGAAAAGGAGATGTGTTCTAAAGAAAAAAATGTTCCTGTCTGTTTAGGAAGTTTTATTGACAAGGCCAGGTTTTAAAAAAACACATAAACAAAAGATGGAAGTAAGAACAAGAAGCTTGGGGTAATTAGAAAAGATAGGTAGGGTTCTTTATGAATAAATAAATTAGTTAATTATTGCTATGGACAACAGAAATGAATATATTGAAGTCAAGAAGGTAAAATAGGGATAAGAATCTTGAAAGGGGTAAATGTGAAGATGATAATGGGCAATGGAGAAAAAGTAGGACTTTTCAATTTCAATTTGAATTTTGTTTTCTCAACCAAGGACAATCTTGGATAAGATGTGAGTCACTATTACTTCCAACTTCTGGCTCTGTTATTTGATCTATTGATATAATTTAGGGACCTCTAAATATTCCCATCTACTGCTGGGATTCTTATAATCTATCCACTGTTCAGATTCCTAAAATCTAGCCACTGCTGGAATTCTTATAATCTAGCCAATAAGCCAATAGCTTACAGATGCTCAGATTCCTTAAGAGTCTAACTAATATGGCAAATCTTCAATAAACCTTGTCTTTGGCTGAAAGAAGGATTGGGTCAAATTCTTTTGGGCAGGACCCATGTGTTGTGATTTTGGGGTCCCAGGACCCCTGAACCCCTAAACTGCATCATTTTGGTGAACCATACGGGGAAACTGCCTAACTCCAAGTTTTTCTCCAGCGAAGGCTGCAAGGTATGTAAGCCTCACCTCCTTCCTTTCTTGCTCTGCAGTTAGGGTTGCTCTCCAAGCACCAATGCTTGGAGGTGCTTTTGGAGCAGACAGTTACTAGACTGTCTTGCACTTGGCCTGACGTTCTCAAGCTCGTCCATCCACTGGGTTGGTTCAAGTCCATGGACCTGGGTACACCTTCCGCAGCATAGAGGACAAGGACAGATGCCCTATCTGGAAGTGTATGCTCAATTCTGTTAATTCCCTTGGCACTAGGGAATTGGGGGAAACTGCAATTGCTTTTGGGTTCCCTGAGGCTTACTTACTCCCTTCCCTCTGCACCTCTGAATTCTCCTTCATGGAGGTTACAGGGAAAGTTAGAACAGCTAAAAATATCTTGGCAGATTCTAGAAATTTTGTTACTGATCATTAAGGAGTTTTGAAACACCTGTACAACCTGGTCACTCCCTTCCCTTGAGTCAAGGGGGTATCTGTTAACCCCTCTCATAAGAGAAGAGAGATTCACCCTTTACCCCTCACCTTTGATTTTGCCCTGCCCCACCTGGGAAAGGAAGGAGGGGGGAGGGGCAGCAATTACAGTGTGGGCCGCCCTGGCAATGTCCTAGGGCCCAAGGGCAACCTTTACCTGGAAGCAATCACCCAGGTCCAGCACATCCTACTCAAGGTAAAGAAGCTGGCCTCTGAACCTGGGTAAGCACACTCTTATTAAAGTTTTAGTTTTAACTCTTAATGATGAGATGTTGATTCTCTGTGTAAAGTAACTTGGAAATGCATTTGACAAAACTGAAGTCACTTGATTGGTAATGGGTTTGTTTCAAGTTTCAAATTGGTCAACTTTTTGTATCAGTTATGTCAAGCAACTTTCCATAATTTGGTTACCACTCAAATAGTTTGACTATTGTTGGTTATTGTTTCAATGTGTAAATTAGCCAAAAAGCTTATTTGGGTTACGTATGACTTGCTGAGAATCTGATGATTGGCTTTTTATACCAAGACAAATTTAAGTTTGAAATGTAAATCCTGGAAAAGTTTTTCCTAAGCTGTGATTAGTAAAACTTGCTGTTTGAGGTAAAAGCTCATAGAATTTTATTTTGAGTTGTCTGATGGGTCATAATCCATCGATAACCAATAATCCACCATCTGATAGAAATGCCACAAGCTACTCAGAGAAGGTGATACTGGTGGGAAGTAAAGGGAATGTTACCCACCTGGCTATTCCTGAGTATGGCTATGAGGTGGATTTGATACTGCATGGTTGGAAAACTGAATTATCTGAATCCACACAGAGCTAAGGATGTTTTATCCTCTCAAAGTTGGGCCCTAAATCTAGTTCCTGCTTTATATCTGGGCCCTGCAGTCTTTTCTGTCAGATTTGTATCTTCCAGACTACATGCCATTCACCTATAGTTGGTAACAGCGAGTACCAGCCAATGTTCCCCCATCGTTCTCTGGATGCAGCCTGTGCTCTGTTCCAGTCAACTTCTTTGGGGCCTCCTGAAGGTGGGGACAGCACTACATTACTTGCCAGCATGAAGCAGTTTCAGAAGCTGAGACCTTTGCCCCTTACCCCAAAAGAATTTGGGTCCCATTTGTTTGAGGCGGAAATGATGGGGTTAGGATCTGGGCCCCAGAAAGGAAAAACCCTGGACTTTCCCACATGGCCAAAAATTTCTAGCTTTCACCTGAGGCTGTAATTCCATCAATTGGCCTTTCATTGTGGCTACACCCAATCTCCCTTTCATTGTCTTACCTCCATATGGCCCCTGGCCATTTCCCCTCCCATCCAGATCCTCCTTAGGCCCCTCCTCCAGTCACCCCAAACTACTTGGCCACTCCTAGATCCCTGCCACAGTCTTTCTGTATATAAGGTCCATCTTGTCTCCATTAAGATGCTGGGATTCTGAGTCAATAGCTCAGTCAGTCCATCCTCTTCGCCTGCTGTCACCATGCTGGCCGCCACTCTCTGCCGCTGCTCTGTGTTGGTGCGGGTCCTGCTGCCGAAGCCAGGGGCTGAATGCCCCTCCTCCTGGTCATCTTCCTCCTCTCCCACCACCTCTGCTATCCAGTCAGTTTGCTGCTATTCCCATGGGTCCCATGAGACAGATGAGGAGTTTGATGCTTGCTGGGTGACATACTTCAGCAAACCAGATCTTAACGTCTGGGAATTACAAAAAGGAATGAATACATTGGTTGGCTATGACCTGGTTCCAGAACCCAAAATCATTGATGCTGCTTTGAGGACATGCAGATGGTTAGATGATTTTGCTAGTGCAGTTTGTGTTCTAGAGGTTGTAAAGGACAAAGCAGGACCTCATAAGGAAATCTACCCATATATTATCCAGGAACTTAGACCAACTTTAGAGGAATTAGGAATCTCTACTCCAGAGGAATTGGGCCTGGACAAAGCATCAACTCTTGTGGATGGGCTCCCTAAGGATTCATTGGTAATGCTACTTGATTATATACATTTACCTGGAGATGCTGATGATAAAATATTATTTGAACATGTTTTTCTTTATTGAGTCCCAGTCTGTACAATATTTACTTGGACCTTAATAAAAGGGAAACAGTTTGAACTTAATTTAAGTAGTTACTACCTGTGTTTACATTAAAAAGTTTGTTGTTGTTCAAAAAAAAAAGATTCTGGGATTCTTATAATCTAGCCACTGATCAGATTCCTAAAATCTAGCCACTGCTGGGATTTTTATAATATAGCCAATAAGCCAATAGCTTACTAATGTTCAGACTCCTTAAGAGTCTGCACAACATGATAGATGTTCTAATAAACCTTGTCTTTGACTGGAAAAAAAAATATATTCCCATCTACTCTGCAACTGAACTTTAAGATTATTGGGCTTTTTATCCACCATGCAGACTTTTCTATTAATTTTGGTTTCCCCCAATTAGAGTATGTTCTCCTTGAGAGCAAGGATTAACTTGCTTTCTCTAGCACATTCTCTAGTACATTATAATCACTTAATTAAAAAAAAAAACCACTCAACAAAAAAAGAGGAAAAATTACTAATAATGATTCAAAACCAAAAATAAGTAAAGATACGCTAAGAATACACCTCACTGCTGTTAATGAGTTCAAGTCATCAGGTCTTGAGAAATTGCATCATAAGATACTAATAATACATACTGATGTGATTGCTGATGTCTCATAATCTTTACAGAAGGTTAGCTCAGGCCTTTCACTCTTCTGGGTGCCCTCCTCTGGACAGTCTCCAATAAATAGATAAAACATCCTACATCAGAAGTGGGGAATCTGCAACCTCGAGGCCACATGTGGCCCTGTAGGTCCTCAAGAACGGCCTCTGACTGATTCCAAATTTCACAGAACAAATCCCCTTAATAAAAAGATTTGTTCTGTAGAACTTAGACTCAGTCAAATGGCCATGCTTGAGGACCTAGAGGGCCACATGTGGCCTTGAGGCTTCAGGTTCCCCACTCCTGTCCTAGACTCTAGAATTTTGTCAACCTTAAGACCACTAGACTATAGTTTGAGGTATCTACAAGAAATAAGACTAATAATCCAGATCAGGGCAGAGTAGAGAAGAATCATCACTTCCTTTTACCAAAATGCTGCATGTCATCATGTATCCTAAAATTATATTACCTTCTTAGTTGCCATGTCTTATTTTTGATTCATCTGAAGATTACAAGCTTCTAAATAGCCCAGATATGTTTGTATAATATGTTGTCTAGTAATGCTTTTGATCATCTTATATTTGTGAATTTGATTTTTTAAACCATAGTGTGAGATTTTATATTTAAATCTTCTTAGATGTAACTCAATATTTTATCCTGTCAAGATCGTTTTGGATCTTCACTCTGTAATAAAGTAAAAGCTTTGTATCATTTGAAAATTTTAAAAGCATGCCACCTATACCTTTAAGTAATTGGCATAATTACTTAGATCATAGGCCAAGCACAAGCCTCTGATCATAGCACTGGACCCCTCTATCCATTATGTGAACCATAAGCCACTATTCTTTGGGCCTGGACATCAAACCAATTATGAATATATTTAATTATGCTGTCATATTCCATTTAAACTTTGATATTTTCCACAAGAATGGTATGAGACTTTACCAAAAGCTTTGCTAACATCTATATAAGCTATATTTATAACATCTCTAATTTATGTCTATTGACTGTCAAATGGGAAATATTAGAACATCGTAACCTGTTTTAATATCCATTTTTTTCAGATTTTGAGTTCCAAATTATTTTGCTTTCCAGCCAATCCCTCAATCATTGAGAAGGCAAGCAATATAATACCCATTATACATGTGAAGTCATGTAAAACATATGTCCATTTTAGCCATGTTCCAAAAATATAAAAAGGAAAAAAATATACTTCAATCTAAATTCAGAGTTTACTACACTACTACTACACCACTGTGCTTCCATCTTCTTCCAACTTCTGTTAAAATAAAATCTAAGTTGGTTAAGTTTCCTCTGCATTATTTTTCTTATTGGAATTATTTAATTTTTGTATGAGGCAGCTAGGTGACTCAAAGGATAGAGTGTTGCATCTGGAGTCAGGAAGACCTGAGTTAAATTCGATCTCAGACACCTACGACAAGTTGTGTGATTCTGGGAAAGACACTTAACCTCTACTTTAGTCTGCTGGAGAAGGAAATGGCAAACCACTCCAGTATCTTTGTCAAGAAAACCCCATAATGGCAGCATGAAGAGTCCCACATGACTGAATGATCAAATAACATTTCTTTGTATCAATCAAATAGTATTTATTAAACTCTATATTCCAGGCACCTTATTGAGTGTGTCTTTAGAATTTCTTTCATGAGTTTCATATTTCTCCTGGGTTGTCTGTTTCTGTAAAATTTTAAGCCATAAAATACTATGTGTGATTTTTAAAAATTCTTAGAAATCTGATTTTCCTAAATCCAGGGTGCATATGAGACTATTGCAAATATAATGGTGAATGTCTATTGAGTCAATCAATCAAATCACCTATACCACTTAAAGCAAGTGACAAGATGTTATATCCTGATACCTTTGTTAGGTGAGAGTAATAAATCAGTGAGAGGTATGCACTAGGTGTGAACAAGGCTTAGACATTAATTATAGATCTTAGATTAAATCCAGTATTATTGTTGTGGTTATTATTATTATTAATTTAATAGTCCTTCTTTGGATGAAATAAAATAACTCACAACAAGTATATTCAGATTGTTTAAAGAGACTATTCACATCCTGGGGACAGGTGTATAAGTATATAAGTAAATAAAACTTAAGTGTATAAAACCTAGTAACTAATTTGGAATTGAAGATTTAATCATCTGTCACTATAGAGGAAATCACCAACAAAGTTCCTTTGAATGAATTTTTTGGAGAGAAAAGAAAAGCCTTGGCCATTGCCTAGGGTTTGACTTTGGTCTTCTCTCTAATTCTATCTTTTTGACCAAAGGAAAAATTTCTAAACTCTGGAGAGTTGAAAGATTTTGAACTTCCCATAGTCCTAGCAGCATCCCTGGAAAAGTGTCTCAGCGTCTTGATCTGGACCCAAGTACAAACTGGACACATTGAGGAGTGAAAGCCTCAAGGACTTTGTGAGCAATCTAGCAGATTAACTACACTGTTCTTCAGGCGAAACTCTTGAATGCTCCTAAGAAGAGGAAAAAAAGACATCTAGTAGCCAGGATCTATGAGCTACTGCTTTGTCATATATGTTAATTAGGCCTTAATCCACTTCTCTGTGGATTCTGTATGTATCTGTGGGAGAGTGTTTCAAAGGCTTTAAGGTGATGATTTGTACAAACTGTTCTTACTGTAATACCTTAGTAAATAAACCATTCTAAGAGCTCATTTTCTGTCTATGTTGTTGATATCACCTGATTACCGGGGTGGGGAAGTGGGTAAGAAGGAGTTTGTAAACTATAGCTTTAAAAAGTCACCTCATTCCCCAAGAATACGCCTAGAGACCAGAATGGAGGTGCAATGCTCTAACTCTCAGGACTTGGACATGTCAATTCGAAGAGGGTTGATAGAGTTTCCACAGGGCATGTGCTACACACGATCACCTCTCCTCCATCAGAAACTCTTAATACGGAATTCCCACTTTCCCCCAAGGATCATATTCACTTGCATCTCCCATAGTCCTAATCTTCCTTCAATGCAAACTGTTTACCATGCATGTATGCTTCATTAGGAACTTTGGACTTTGTGCTTCTTAGTTAGTCCTGCTTATAGAGGGATTTCCTATCTTCATCATGGTTTTTTTTCTCATATTTTCTGGTACTACTTGCCAGGATCTATTTGACCTGGAAATATAAGATTCTTGTCCATACTCAAAAAAAAAAAAATAACTGTCTTCATCTGGTATTTGCAAAGGTCAGGTAACGAGAATGAATACAAAAGTGGGACAGATTCCTATAAGATTTGTGACAGGTTTGTTGAAACAGAGAATGAACTAGTATTGGCATTGAATCCTTAGAACAACAAAAAAGGGCTTTGTAAGTTAGGAGGGCAAGAGAAAAATTACAAGTGGGATAACATAAAGCAACAGCCTGAGTAGTTGGTAAGGATAACAATGGATTAGGAGAAAAGTTTTTTTTTATTATTTTATTTATTTTTATTTTATTTTATTTTATTTTATTTTTTGCTTAAATCAGTTTCTCACTGCTTTTTCTGCCAAGGAGAATGATCTTCAAGCTGAGAAGGGTACATCAAAAAATGGAGTTGAGAGGCAGAGCTGAGATGGCAGAGTAAAAGCAGTGACTTCCTTGAGCTCTCCCCCAAACTCCTCCAAATACCTATAAAAAAGGCTCTAAACAAATTCTAAATTAGCAAAACCCACAAAAAGACAGAGTGAAACAAATTTCCAGCCCAAGACAACCTGGGTGGTTGATCAGAAAGGTATAAGGCTCCAAGCTGAGAGAGGAATGCAGTTCAATGTGGTCATGTAGACCTCAGTGAACCTGCAGCAGGCCTCAGAGGACTGAATCACAGGCAGCTGTGGTGGTTTCCAGACTTCTCAACCCATGAACATCAAAGACATCTTAGAAGGTCAGTAGGAAAAGGTTATGCCTTTGGTGAGAAAAAAGCACAGTGTGATCTCAGCCCCAGTCCCAGAGTACAGCCCCGAGTGGTGGCTCCTCCCTGAGTTTCTGGCCCACAGACTGAGGGGGAATTGGGTGGCTGATCAGAAGGTAATTGCAGGGATCTCTCTGCTGGTGCAGGATTCTCTTGCTTTGCCCATGCTTGGATCTGAGTCACAGTTCTGTGTGGCAGTCCTGGAGAAAGGAGGAGGACTGGCGTGGTGGAGCTTGTAGTGGCTGTGGAGAGGAAACCCTCCTCACAGTTCCAAGACAGGAAAGAGTGCTCATAGACCAGAGCACAGGCCAGGAAAGGAGTAAACACCTCGCCCTTGATTGTACCATCTTGGAAGAACTGAAATTTTACAGGTCCCTAGAAGTATCTCTGAACACAGCTGCACAAAACCCCTGGAGCTTGGGACCATACATTCTCCTCACTGGAAACAGACTCCTAC